AAAGCATCTTCTAGTTCAGCTCATTACAAAGCTGAGATTAATACCAGTAAGTCAGCTCAGGACTATGTTCAGCCTCAGCTTTTGTAACTAAAACTGCTGGACAGACTTAATTGTTTACTTCATATTGGTTTCTCAAACTTTGATATCTTTGGAACTATGATAAATACCTAACCCTTCAAAATTCTTGTAGTAGTTTCTATCTAATTGTCTGAAGTCTTTACACTGTTAGAGCAAAAATTGATGAAATTTTTATTTAAAATACCCAAATGACTTGATAAAGTAAGAAAAGAAAAAGTAATGTATGTTAAACCAATGGGAGAGTGTAAGTTTGTTAAGAACTGGAACTATTTTAATTGTGGGACACAGGAGGGAAAATAATTACTGAAAACATTGGTGCGAAAGGGTTTGATTTCTCAATAGGAAGCATCAAATGTGGAGCTGTTCCCATGGCCATTGGAGTTCAAGCAGACATGGCAACTCCAGCCCTTATCAGGTTTGGTAGTGAAGAGCTTAAGCAAGAGTTTTTAGTTCCAACTATTGCTGGTGATGTTGTGGCCTGTCTTGGAGTGAGTGAACCTGGGGCTGGATCAGATGTTGCAAGTATTAAAACTACAGCTGTTAAAAAAGGAGGTTTGTCATTAAAAGAAATAATGGTTCAAAATAAGGATTGAGGTAGAGTGGTGCAACTCTCTCCAGATGGGATGGTTGTTATCCACTTTCCCCCTTCCCCTACCACCACCTCCTCCAATATTTACTGGTATCAGGTTTCCATAACAGTTTGCCAGTAGACTACAAGCAGTCCCTCCTTTGTGGCATGCATGTAAAAAAAGTTAGTAAAAAAAAAAACTGGTGTTAGCCCACTGCGGGGAGCTCTTGGAGTGATGTTGATGCACTGTGAGAGCTCTATAAGTGAGGCACCAAAACATAGGGACTATGAACCAAGCCCATGACTTTGATGAGCAAGCAAAGACTTGAATCCAGAACTCTTTATTTATGGTTCAGCTAGCTTGTGAGACCACATACTGTCAATACATCTTGATTGAGTCAGCAAGCTGAAAATGGCATAAGAATTTTACTTTAGGATCATGTAATCTTGTTAAGGTGACTTAGAGGGGGTTACAGTTGACCTTCAATTTTATTCTTTAGAAGTGGTCATGGCTGTAATAGTTTTATGTGTAATTGACTAGCACTGATTACTGTTATAGGGTTTGCTTTTGACTCCAATTTTTTGAGCATTAAAGAAGGTTTTTGCTTTATCCCTTGATAGATTCTAGTTTCCTCTGCTGACCACAAAAGGCAACACTTTTTACTCATAAAATGTGGTTGTATAGTCACAGCATGTAGATTTGTGTGTATTAATTTGTCAATTGAAATGGGTACATGCCCTTGTAAGGGAGGCCAGTAGGAGAGCTAATACAGGTGTATCCATTCTCAATTAGTTTGATTTACCAGTACTGTATTTCAACAGTTTCTATGAATGTCTGTGTTCACAAGGTTTAAAATTATTTTGTCTTCTAACAGATGACTATATCATAAATGGAAGCAAGTTATGGATTACGAATGGTCTTCAGGCAGATTGGATTTGTCTTTTAGTGAATACTAGTGAAGGTCCACCACACAAAAACAAGTCTTTGATCTGTGTTCCTCTCAATCTTCCTGGAGTCCAAAAGGCAAGGAATATTAACAAACTTGGAATGCATTCATCAGACACTGCAGAGCTGTTCTTTGAGGACGTGAAAGTACCACAGTCATACCTGATTGGTCAGGAAGGAATGGGGTTTCCATACCAGATGTTTCAGTTTGTTGAAGAAAGAGTTTTTGCTGGGGCTTCAGGTATGTTAGGATGACCAAAAAAACAGAGAGCAAAAAAAAAAAAAACAGCTATTGATATTCTTATCATCTGTCTGGAAAGAACTCTCGCTGACGTTTGTGAGACACTAACGCTCAGGACACATTGTATATTCATCACATATTGCCACCTCCTTGAGTGTGTTAATGTCTATTATTTATTATTTTCTATATATTTTTGGGTAATAGACATAGAGAAGGTTTGTATGGGTTTTCCACAAACTATTTCAAGTTTTTTTTTCTGTAAGTTGCATGAATCTGGGTTGTTTCTCTCCACCTTGGTTGGAAATTCTGACAGAGGCACAATGATCATATGATATGCTTTCAGGAAACTTTTAATTAAACAAGGAAGAATATGATAATATAATTGGATATGCTTCTAGTTTTTGAAAGTTATTAATTGAATATTTGAATCTTCAGTTCTGGCTTAAATTCTATATTATACATGTTGATAAGGACAATAATGATTATTTGTCACAATGATTATGATTACACTCAGTGTGGTAAAAAATTTTATTCAGCAAAGAGTGTTCATCAAAATAATACATCCCTTTTCTAGTTGTTTACATCATATCTTTTTTTGTTTTAGTACTGTTGTCTATGGAGAGACTTATTTCTCAAACTGCCAGCTACTGTAAGGAAAGGAAGGCATTTGGAAAGTCTATTCTAGACAATCAGTATGTTCACTTCCGCCTTGCTGAGCTTCAAACTGAAGTTGAACTGCTCAGGTCACTTGTATATAGAACTACAGGTTGGTTCCTGGTGGCTTTAATTAATTAATTTAGTTATTAATCATAGATTTTTACTGATAAAGGAAGAGGAAGCTATGCTTTGATCCAATTCTTTAAAAGGAATAATTGTTGTAAGAAACTTGTTATCATACAATGGAGAGTAACTTGTGCCTGTTATCAGACTTAATAAGACAGTGTATTTTTTGTTTCTTTTATGTATTTTATCCTTGTTTCTTTCATTATTATGGTTTTCTTTTTTTCAGTTTGGGTTTTGTGTTTGGACCCTGTGTACATACTCTATCTCTCTGTTATTACTGGTTGTTATCTTAAGTTGTTTACCATTTTATGCTTCAGATTTACCATTTTATGCTTCATAAAATTTACCATTTTATGCTTCAGATCTGTACATGAAAGGAAAAGATGTCAACAAGCTAGCCTCGATGCTCAAACTCAAAGCTGGTCGCCTTGCACGAGAGGTACCTGATTCCTGCCTGCAGTTCTGGGGAGGAATGGGTTTTACATCAGAAGTAGAAGTCAGCCGTGCGTATAGAGATAACCGTCTTTTGTCAATTGGTGGAGGAGCAGATGAAGTGATGCTGTCAATCATTTGCAAATATATGGGAACATTTCCTCAGGACCAGCAATTATTTTAAGTTATTTCTGGATAGTTTAAAAACTTTCTCATATTGAAGCAGGGATATTGAGTCTAGCATGACTGCTTATCACAAAGATCATGCCATTGTGACATTTGATTTTATGTAGTTAAGAAAACTGTGTATCTGTGGCTTCCAAACACTGTAAATAACACCCACCACTGTCAGTGAGAAGTAAAAAAGTTGTCAGCTTATCTCAGTATTTTAGCCCCATTTTAACATAAAGTTACAGTGCCTTTGGACCATAACATTTCATTTATTTCAGTTATCCTGGTGATCTTTTTCCTTACAGTTGACTTGAAGGCAGTGGCTTCCCATAAAGCTATCAAAAGTTACACTGTGCATCTAATATAAATGTGAAAATTATATTTGGTGGTTAACAGCCACCAGCACAATTTCTTTCCTTCTCTCAAACCAGTTTAAACATATTTCATGCAACAGATTATTCAAAATTGTTTAGTTAATGCTGTGATAGCTTTCAATCTTCTGTTAAGGCATTATATATGATTAGCTGAATTATAAATGCATTTTGATTGGTTCTGACTTGTGATCTGTTGAAGGGTAGACACATTGATTGTGACCTTTAAGGGTCACAGGGGAAGCCAATAGCTTTAGGAGCCAACTTGAACGCACCAGCCAAAATTATCACAACTGCTAGCACTGCTTTATCGCTATTAGTATAATATTGGCATCCTCTGTGACCCTTGAAGGTCATATTGCTGATGTCACCGTTAACAAGATTTCGTATTTTGTCATATGAAACAAATAACTTTCATGTTTCTGTGGGCCTGTTCATTGATAGAGGACAGAAGACATCAAAACATGGTAAGGACAAGAGTGATGAACTTTGTGTTGCCATGATGTGCCCTTTTTTAGTTCTTGCTAATTTTTGATGTCATCTGTGATCTATTACTGAACAGATACACAGCAACGTGGAATCTAATTGGTAAACAGAAATAAGTCAGAAGCTCTGAGCTGGAATCATGCTTAATGTGAGAGTTGGCAGATGTAATTCTGAACTCCTATTAGGTTGCCACCAGGTTGTATTCTGATTTTATGATTTGAAGAATGGCCAATAGAGTCTTTGGTATTTGTTAAGTTGCTATAAAATTATTTCACACAAAATCATTATATTCATTTTTTAGAGGGCAGTGTTTAAAGAAGTACTTAAATTATTTTTAAGAATGGTTAAATCTTCCTTTGTTTAGAATTTGTGTGAATCCTGTAGAAAGTTGTACTTATTAGAGTTGTGGGGCATAGGTTTATGATATCATGTGTTTTAATTGTGTCTGTTTTCAGTAATCAATTGACATAAACCAGAAAGAAATTGACACAAAACAAATGAAACCAAAAAAAAAAAATGAACTTCACTGTATTGGAAGAAATTCAGAGGAAGAAGCCTGGAGAAGCTTAGGCCTGAACCCATGCTCCCCATGACTGGGTACTACTTTCAACAAAATGACATATAGTCACTGGCTGAGAGAAGGGAAATTTCTCCAATTATTACCGAGAGGTCAAAATATAATTTCCCTCTTTTATTTTAGACACAGTCGCACCCAAAATGGTACACAATTCACAAAGAGCTGCTTCTAGGAGACTCTGCACTGAGTTATGTTGCAAAACCTCAATTATTGGGAATGGCTGTAGATCTCAACCTCACTTGGATACCGCATGTATTCGACCTTAAGAAAAACTTCGCAAACAAATTAGAATTATTAAAACGTTCTACATTTTTACCAAAAGATGTTTTGAGGAATTTCTACTTTAGTGTTATTTTACCATCAATAAATTATGACCTAGTTTTATGGGGATCGTGTTGTAATTCAGAGTTAATTAATTCAATTGATAGATTGCACTGTAGGGCCGCCAGGATTATTTTAAATTTATCTAAAGACATGGCATCCAGCAAAGAAATGAAAACCGTGAATTGGTCAACAATTAGATTAAGTTACAAACTGGAAATATTCAAATTAATGTACAATGCATACAAAAATATATTACCTGACAGTTTATGTGGAAATATTTTCAGTAAACGAGATAACTATTACTTACGGAGAGGGTATGAGGTAGCAGCTATCCGCAGACAGAAAAGCAGATTTATGAAAGACTCATTAGCCTATCAAGGGCCTATATTATGGAATCTGGTAAACTTCAATGAAAAAATAACTAATGTAAGCTTCAAGGAATTAAAGAAATGGCTTACTACCAGGGATTACTTCAAAGATTTTATCTTTGACGGCACAGCAATCTCCACATCGAGACACAGAGTCAGCAACTATGTGTACTTTTAAGTTTTTCTTTTAGTTTTTATGAAATATTTACGTGTATATATTTTGTGATGTAGTTAGTATACATGACCCCACAAGCTTGTGAGCTTTAAATCTTATCATGTGTAAATAAAATTTTTTATGTTTTTATGTTTTTTATATTTGAAATACCTCTTACTGACAAGAATATTTGTATTACTTAGAGACCAAATTTGTTGAGTCCCATATTACTGACACACAGTCTTTTGCTGCACACTTGTGTCTACTTAATAGATATGTGATCATCTGTGTGCTCCCAATGCCCAAGGATGTTGATGCTCCTGAGCTAAGAAACTGCTTTATACATCAAGTGTTGCATAATTATCATAAGTTGCAGATTTTGGTCAGGATTACAAGCAGTGGTCAAAATAAATACCGACTTCTTCCTCTTTGGAGCTTTGTGGGTCTATTTAGAGTTAGTTCCAGTAAGGAACAATTCATGATTTGAGGAGCTTTGGGAAATTAGATCAGTGGGAGCAGAAACTTTCTTTCATCAAAGATGATTCACTGAAAATGGGAACCATCTGTTTAAGGGCCTCCCGGTTGACCAGGCCCGGTTGACCAGGCCCAGTTGACCAGGCCCGGTTGACCAGGCCTGGTTGACCAGGCCCGGTTTTTGAGATCTCGCCTTACCTCTAAATACTCAGTAAAATTTTCGATGTGCTCATATGAGAGGGCGGAATTTTACAAAGGAGGCGAGATCTCGGCAACCGGGCTTATATGAAGAGGCCCTAAAGATAACTTCGAGGGCGGGGAGCAGGGCGGACTAGAGGGCGGGGTTGCCTCGTCCCCAGTGTGCGGAGAGACTGGATCCCAACTGCGCAAAATCCATCATGGCGTAGAGACGAGATGACTGTAAACATGTGATGGTGCATATGGTTTGGTGGTTCAGTTTGTTCTAAGAACCTAAGATATAGTCCCACGTACCTAATGAATAGAGCAGAGTATTTGGGAACCTTGAGTAAGTGGAAATGGCCAGTGTTCGGTGTGACAGCCGCCTTCTTTGGCTCCATGTACACGTTTGGTTTCAACAGGGCCCTTACGGTTCATGCAGGCAGCGGAGAAGAAGAAACGTCAAACTCTGTTGGATTACGAGATCTTTTGCAGAAATGGATCCATAACTTTGTGCAGGGCCCTAAAGGTTCAGAAAAGCCTCCTATAAGTCCGAGAGAGGCTAGCGAAATTTTGCGAAAGAATGAAAAAAGCGTGAACGTGAATATTGGAGCGGTATCGTACTTTGAAACAAACAGTTTTGCTTCCAATACACCTTGTGAAGACCGTGCCAACGAATGGCTGTCATTAAAAACAAATGGTACCTCCTTTGGTGTATTCGATGGACACGGTGGCTGGCAGTGTGCAGAAATGGTTAAAAATCGTTTACCTCTCTATCTCGCAGTATCTTTCCTCTCAAAATCTGATTTGACCATCCTGGAAAAAAATCTCTCGAGACATTTCTCAAAAGATGACTTTGTTAGAATTTTACAGGAGAGGTCACCAGCAGTGGAGAACACCTCTCAGAGCAATGTTGGTTATATTTTAAGTCAAAAGCAAGAAGTTTTTCAAACAGGACCAAAGTACTTTATCAAAAGCTTGATAGAGATGCGTTTTGAAGGTCGAATGCCTACTCAGGAATCCCTTAGTTTGGCCTTTACGCAGTTGGATGACGATATTTCCACAGAAGCCATACCAGTGAAAGTTCTTGATGACTCCTTTGTTGCTGGAGCTTCAGGGAGTTGTGCATTAGTATCATACATTGAGGGACAACACATCTTTGTGGCAAACACAGGTATGTGGGCAGACAGTAACACATTACAAGCTACATACTAGGGAAAAAAAACATCTTTTCCTTCCATTTTTTTTACATATGATATACAACTCTGTGTTAAATCGATAGAACTCCTAGTACAATGTCAACCCAAAAGCTGCAACTGAAGGGACTTACCTACAAGTCTGTTGCTAAGAGGGCTGAAAAGCTAATTATTTGTCCGCAGCTTCCCATGGAATTTTGTGTGCTTACGGTAGCTACTTGTCAAACATGGCAGGAAAATTAAAATTTTAAACACGAGAAAAAAAAAAAACACCAGCTCCTAAACTTTTGCCTTTTCTTGCAACGTGCCCTTGTTGTTAACCTTGCATTGGTTTTATTTCCAGTACCAAAAGTACAAACATTGCAAAAGTGGCTGAAAGAACTTCTCTTGTTGCCTCAAAGCCATGACTTGAGAAGCAGCAAAAGTCTAGTTGTTTACCAAAACCAAAAGGGACTGTTATGTACGCACTGGTAACGTCACTCAATGGCTATCCGAACCATATACGTTTATTATTTTGTTCATGCCATTTATTTTCCGTAGTTAGGCTTAGTGTAATTTAATTTTGTTATAGAAACCACTGGTCAAGAAAGAAAGGTATATGGTTTGGATAGCCATTGAGTGATGTTACTGGTGCGTACGTTACAGGGACTCAGACAGATTATCTAATGAAAGATAAAAATTGCTTACCTTCCTAAGCCACTGCTGCCTACTTATCAAGTGTTCAAGACCTTGCTGCATTTTGTTCAAAACATATCCAATCTAATTGCAGGTTTTCCCCTGTCTCTTTTTCTCTTTGAGGAATAGTTAGCAACTGAAAAAATTGAGAGTCAGATCGCCTGTGTTTTCAATTGCTACAATCACAATATAGAAGACCAAGAGATTACAAGGTCTGGGTGCAAACTAGTTTAACTAACTCTAATTTATTAGTTGTCACTTTTGAGTCTCAACTAATTTTCGAAAAATTCAGCAGCAGTGAAGGATTATGAATGACGAGCAAAACTGAAGTCAAAGTAATTATCACAAAATGATTTTGACTTGTCTGGCCAAAAGTACTATGCTAAATCCACTTGTATCTCTTACTCACAGTTTCATGGTCTTGAAAAAGTATAGTCACAGTAGAAAGAAAAAAATTTTATTCTCGTACCCTTGAAGATTTCTTGGATTTGAATTTGCTGTATATCATGTAAATATTCAGATCCTGCTGTGTAGAGTACTTAGCGCTGGCTTAGAGTAGCCTAGCTATGCAAATGTCAACTGAAAATTTTGTGGTTTTCGCAGTCAGAAGGAGCATTGATTTCTGGTTGTTTTAATTAATATAGAAATTATATATTATGAAAAAAATGTAGTACCAAAACTCACTCAGCAAAAGTGGAGAATTCAGCAACAAAGAATTGATTCCATTTGCACTTGGTTGGTAAATTCAACATCTCATATCCAATGCCCCTATTGGAGATAAAAGCAGATTTCTGTTTACCTTCCAAATGAAAATTATGTGGAAGAATATTTTTGAGGCAACTTACTGTAACTGGATAATTCTGATTCTGTCTCTGACAAAGGAATGGCAGCAAGCATGGTCTTTGTCTGTGAGCAAGCTGTTGTTTAGTCTCATCATGCAACAGGGGGAGAGTGTTGTATGATGAGACCAAACAATGGCTGTGAAGGACATTACAGGAAGCATGGTATCAAAGCACTTTAGTTTTGTCAACCAGTGGTAATACCATAAAAATAATACTTGCATCTGAGTTTATTTCAGATAAATTAGCAGTTTGTTTTTGCTTTCCAATGAACGATATTTCTAGTGGCATCTTTTGAAAGTAAATTCTCTTTTTCTTTTACAAAAATGCAAACATCATTAATTTTATTTAGCTTCCCATTTCAAACCACCCATCCAAAGTATCTCTTGCATGTGTAGCATGCCTATGTTTTTATGCTGGTCAACACACTAAATATGGTGGTGGTTCAAACCATTTAAAGGGAACATGGATCCAACAAATGTGACAACTTTGATGCCCACTGGGTTTGAAGAACCAAGGTTAAGAAGGTTTTAAGACTTCTTTTCTAATAGACTCATATTTTAGTTCCACCCCTCTTAACCTTTTTGATAGCATTACCCATCAATAAACTCAGTACAGAGGCTTCTTATTCTGACATGTGCTTGATTTATACATTTATTAAAAAGAAAGACTCAAAAGAAACAAGTATATGTGTAAAACCACAAGAGTGAGGTAAAACTTAGCCCTTGATCTTTTGTACTGCTCTAAAGGATTACAAATTTGGTTGTTACCCGCTTGGTGAATAGAGAGGTGCAACCCTGGGGAAGTCTAATGCTGCATTGCTAGAAAAAAGTACAAAAGGCTGAAGATATAGTGTATGATAATTTTTTTTTTGTACACTATTATGTTTATTTTGCACTTTATTTCCCCTTTTTTTAAATGTATATTCTAGGTGATTGCAGAGCAGTCCTTGGAAGTGCAAAAGGGGATGGCTCTTGGTTGGCTACTCCACTTTCTGTGGATCAAACAGCTGAGAATGATGACGAAGTAAAGAGACTTAGGTTAGAACACCCTGGTGAAGCCTTTATCTTAAAGAACAGCCGTCTCCTTGGACAACTACAGCCATTAAGATCATTTGGTGACATTCAATACAAGTGGGATAAAGTAACACATTCGCACGTCCTCACACAGGTGTACGGGGGTCCTATTGTTCCACCAAATATGTACATTACTCCACCTTATCTCACTGCAAGACCTGTTGTTACACATCACTGCTTACAACCCAATGATAAATTCCTTATCCTTGCCACAGATGGCCTGTGGGATGTTCTTAGCAATGAACAAGCTGTTGGGCTGGTTGCTAATTTTCTTCAGCAGGGTTGGAAAGATAAAGAGAATGCTACAGCTCTGAGTGACATCACAGATGCAGGGGATGAAGTTCTGGAACAAAACGCAGCCACTCATCTTATTCGTCATGCTTTGGGTGGTAATGACCATGGCTATGTTGCTCAGATGTTGTTGGTTCCAGAGCAATATAGACGTATGTGGAGAGATGATATTACTGTTACTGTTGTGTTTTTTGATTCCGATGTCTTATCCAAGCTGTAGGAGACAGTGGTAAATTCTTCAGTTTTGTGACAAGTTCCCCAGTTACATTGAATGCAATAGAAAAATTCCAACAACAAAACTGGGAACTACAGTTACTGATCAAGAGGAGCTATGCGTTGATTTTTTAATAAACAATTGTAGTACATCTTGTTCTTCTTTTTATTACCCAAAATGTTCATCTTTATTTAAAAAAAAAAATTGTCTAGATTTGTCATTCCTTTTTTTGACTTAAGGTTAATGGAGCTTTACATGTGAACATGATGACAGGGCAGATAGTGATCATGCTTATGTATTATTAATGGTCAATCCTACCTCCTTAGTTTTTATGTTAGTAGACTTTCTGAAGTTTTTTGAAAATTTTCCCAGAGGAGAGGGCCTTATCACAAAATTCCAGTTTTACTGCTAACTAGGAATTTAACTAAGCAAGCACAATTAAAAAGTGGCGGTTAAAATATTCACCAAGAAAAAATAAGTTTCGCTGATATTGATCATGTCATCATTTGCATTTGTCAAAAAAGTAAGTTTGATTCTTTAGCAATTCTATGCAAATTTTAATCTAGGGTAAACAAAAAGATGGCACTTGGGCAGAACATGTATAATAATCAGTAAAGAACATTTTAAGTACTGGGAATAGTGTCAGAATTTCTGTGTCTTAAAATTTATTCTTGAACTATGCAGCTAAGTAACCATGTGAACTAAGGCTGCTTAACACCTTTTTAGTTTGAATTACATTTCAATGTACCTACTGTGTGGAGGAAATGTCATATCAGCATCAACATAGGTATGCAAGAGTGTTATTTTGAGATAGGAGGGGGTGGATACTTTAAAACTGATATTCTCATTATTGCACAAGGGAGCAAAACACACACACAACCTGGGACAAATAGTCATGTGATCTATCATTTGTTTCTCTGATTAATGTAAGAAAAATAAACTTCACTAGTGTCACACCAACCATTCATCAGTCTCGGACAAAATCAAAATTGCTGCCCAAAAACCATACCATATAATTCTCTATGATAGGCTAGGTCAAAAATCCAATTTATCCCCAATATACTTGGACCAAAGAAATGTTGGGGGTTCTATTCTCTGATGAAGTGAAATTACAATTATTGCAGCCATAATAATCTTACTCTAATGGCTATCAAGCAGCACCGCATATGACAAGTAATGGCCCACTCATATTTTATTCTATTTTATTTAGCTTCGCCAGCGGCAGGGACACCACAACAGCTTGCGCCAATTACTGCGGCCCCATTATTGAGGGAGTACTGTTCACACCCAAACTAAAATGTCAAGTTCAAACTTCAAAAACCAAAGAAAACAATATTAGGCATAGAGGTTGAAAAGAAAGGTTAATGTGACTTGCCAAATTTTTCAACCTTACTGAGCAACTGCAAGGCAAATTAAACCATAGGCAGTATGTGATAACATTCAACTCTAAAAATACTTGGACAGTGTTGTTGCCCAGATGCACAACAGGCATGGCAGCATCTTGGTTTTAAGACACAAAAAAAAAACTACAACACATTTAAGGGAGCAGTGTGAAGAGTGCTAGCAACAAATCCTGTTATCAAATTAGTTTGTGCATCATATCCCCAGAAATCTGGACCCAGTTGTAAATAGGGCTGATAATGCTATCCAATGGATAAATAGCAAAATGTACTGTGCCATCCTCTGGATAGAGAGTTACTCAGTGAATAGCATACATTATCTAGCCTTCAAACAACAAAGGCCTGACTGGTGAAAGTAACAAGCCTTAAGGGATCTGACTGGTAAGAACAAGATATCCCAACGAATCTGATTTGCACAAGTAACATACCACTTTCTATGACAGGAAGTATTTAATTTTTACCTACATCACTTTTCATTCGAGTATGGTGTGTTATCCTGACTAAGAAACAAGGTTACTTATATAGTAAATGCCACAAACCAGACATGGATGAATGCTGTGTATTATTAGTAACTGAAAGAAACATGGACACGTCCGGTTAAGTTTTTCTGAAGTTTTCCCAGATGAAGTTCATTTGATATCATTTAATTTGGAGGCCAAGTTATGAAAATTGCCAAAAGTGTGTAAACTTGCCTTTAAAAAGGCTAGAAGATGACAAACTTCAAGTTAAAGATTTAGACTTCTATCAAATAAACAAAGAGCATCAAGACTTGAACAACAACAAACAATTCAATGAAATAAAGCACTTTTATTTTTGGAACATTTCCATTGGAAGATGTCTGGATGTATTCAGCAATAAAGGAATAAGAACTGGCTTAGAACTTTGTCCATACAAGCACTGCCTCTTGTCATGAAGATGGTTACACACATTCTTACTGCAGACTGTGATCTACTGTCACAAAGTGCTTCAAGAACTGGTCTGCAAATTGACAAACACTTGTTATGGATAAAGTGATACATTAAGCTAAGCTTATTTACCTATCTTCAGTGAGATAAAGTATTATTGATCACCAGAAATTAACTGTGCAGAAAATTATCAGAAGCTATTATTCTGATTTGTGTCACTGGTAATGAATGACATGAGTAAAATTACCAGGTTGGGAAGGTAGTATTTGATTTGTCTTATCAAGACACAAATGAGTGAACTTTGCTTAAAGTAACACAAAGTTGCACAAATTATTCAAAATATACTGTCTTCCATGTATCTTTTAATTCATTCACCAGTAAGAAACACTTGGCCTGCCAAGACTCCTTATCACCTTCCCCAACCCAATGCACAAGTGAGATTTCTTGTTTGGAACATTCTTGTGAATGAATGCACTGCACGAAAGAAGAAAATATCCGTTGCCTGAATAAGTACAATCTTCTGCTATAAAATGTCTGTTGCCTAGCAACACTGACACACTAAAGCTAAGTGCGGAAAATTACATTTATAATTGTATTCCATGTTCACCCATTCCATCACCCTAAATGTTCTTTGCCAATTTCTCAAAATACTTGATAGACGTAATTGATGACCTTATCTTGCTAGCATCAGCACTTTTTCTTGAACCTTGAATGTGGAAAAAAACACTTTAACTCAAATTAGTTTAGTAGCACTTTGACTGCAAGGTTCAACTGCTGCACCAAATCAAAAAGACCTTTCCTCTAACTCCTGTATCAGTCATTCTCACAACTAAGTACATGTTGCTTGGAAAACCCAAAGGAAGAAACTTGAAGCTTCAATGCCAAGCAGAATTTCTCTATTACCAGAGTACTGTTGCTAGAAAGCACTTCAATCCAATTTATAAGCATCATTGCAGACTTGTTTCATTTGTCAAGACAAAGGTTAGGGGTCTTTTGTCCAGGATAGATCTGCCATATTTTCTCCACAATGTTTTAAGGTTGATGACACTCAGTAGCACTGAACCAATTAATGCCATTGGAATCCATTTCCAAATATGTGATGTGCTTCAAGTATAGCTGGAAGATGAAACCACCTAAATGTGTCATTGAGCAATCTGTCAAGACACATCCACAGTGACTTCCTCTGATATTGCAACTGTGTTGTCTGCATCATTTAAAATGTTGTCATTAACTGCAGTATTGCCAATCACAAGCTGATTAGCACACCAAATGATTGTACGGGTTGCACGTGTGTTTTGTGCCAGTGTCTTCACAGCTGATATTAAGGCCAAGAGTTCTGTGAAGTAATAAAAAAACAAACAAATAAATAACAAAAAAAGGATGGTTTTCCTCACATATTTATGATGTGGGTCAACACTTGCAGTAGAGAATCTGGTCTAAAAAAGCCACCTTACAGACAACCTTATATATAGCTTATCTTGGAGACTCCAAGTGAGTGGGTAACCGCCTCACGGTTAGCTCAATTGGTTAGAGCACTGGACTGTTGTGTGGGAGGTCGAGGTTGATGGTACAAGATCTTAAAATAACTGAGGAGAATGCAATACCTTTCTACAATATTAAGAAATGGAGAGACATTCCAGTCTTCTCCAATAAGGACAAATAAACCGTAGGTCCCATCTCCTGCATCTATTAATTAGTTAATTTGGTTAGGCAGGGGACGTTAAAGAACCCACTCATGAGATTACTGTGATGTGGTCTGGCCTGTTTACTGGGAATTGGGGGGAGGGGGCATCTTCAAATAAGTTTCCTTCGATTGTTTGTAAACTGCTGATGCAGTCTGGCCAAAGTCCCCTGAAAAGTGTTGTGATGCGCATTTGATCATATCCACATGTTAATTTGTGCAATATAAATATTAAATTATTACTATTATTATTTTTAAGTAAAAGACACTGTGGATAGCAGAAAGACAAGAACAGTTAATGCTGATCTTCCATCCATCAACAGCTGATGTGAATAGTTGTACAATGATTTTATGGCTAGTTCCATACAGCTGGAAGGTAACAAATGGAAGGTAATACCACTATTATCAATACTATTTGTTCAAGGTTAAAGGCTATTGGCTAGTATTGGTCCTGTAGTTGCACAACGCTTTACATTGTCACCACCTGAACACAGCAAAGTTGTCAAGATTGCATTTTTTTAAAGAACCTTTTCAAGTAACCTGTTCTGAGAGTCAATTCATAAATACTATTTTTCAAAGCCCAATGTTTCCAGCTGATTGTCCTCTAAGAGTATATTTTCTCCAAAAATTGTTTTATGTTCTTGGCATCCGAGACACCCAAGCTTGTTTTTGTTTTATTTTATAAGTGACAATTTTTATTTTACAAAGCAACTTTCGCTTGATAAAGAATTTACCAGATTTCCTGCAATATTTCAACAGTATGTGTTCCTAGCTAACAGTTTCTATCTTGTAGAGCCTCTGACAGGGTTCTTGCACTTTTACAGGACCCAATTTGAGGACTTTCAGGGACTTTTTAGGTCATTTTCAAGGACCTTAGCTCTCAAATTCAAGGACTTTTGGCATTTAACAGGAGCTAATAGAAATAAAAGACATTGCTTACAGGAGAGGATATTCTACAGAACTGTTGTTAGTATATATGACAGAAATTTGGAGGAGTGCCATTGATTCAAATAAAGTTGTCGGTATGGTGCTGGTAGATTTCCAGAAAGCGTTCGACTGTGTCTCCCATAATGTGCTATTACGTAAATTAGAAAGTGATTTTGGAATTAATGGTGTGCTACTCGACTGGCTGCACATTTACGTTGACAAAAGAAAACAATATACTGTCCTAATTGGTAAGCATCAGATCTTAACACTGTTAAAGCTGGAATACCACAGGGTTCCGTTCTAGGCCCGACTTTATTTTCTCTTTACACAAGTGATTTACCTGAAGCTATAACTACTGCGACAACCTACATGTATGCTGATGATACCACCCTATATTGCATTGGCGATTCTATCCACACAGTAATTTCTGAACTTAACAAAGCTTTAGAAGAGCTTCTGTACTGGTGCAAAACAAACTCCCTTGTGCCTCACCCAAAGAAATGAGAAGCAATGATCCTCCATCGTGGAAGATTCACTGGCCCATTGAAAGAGTTAACATTGGCCCAGCACACCATCAAATGGGTTATACACTCTTGTCTATTAGGCATATTGATAGATGATCAACTAAATTGGTCTAAACATGTCAGTGTTGTTAAAAAAGGCTTTGTTGATAAGTTAAACTTGTTAAAACGTAGCAAATTTCTTCCAAAGAATATGTTATTAGACTTGTATTTTAGAGTTATTATGCCATCAATCGTAGAATTATGGAATGTCGGTATGGGGAGGTCTCAGAAATAAGGAAGGTTTTAAGGCATTAGAAGCACTGCATTGGAGAGCTGCGAGAATATCTTTGAGCTACCTTGGGAGATGTCTAATGCTGATGTTATGTAAAAGGCTAATTGATCCCCTTTAGCCTTTATGTATAAAATTAGCTTAGCTTAGCTAAGCTTATGTATAAAATCCATAATAACCAGACTCCAGACGCTATGTCAGCTATTATTAAGAACAATGATAACATCAAGCGATATCAACTTAGGAAGAAACTGAAAATTGATGTCCCTCGTTTTAACACCTACTACATGAGGAACTCTGTAGCTTGTAGAGGAGCAATAGTTTGGAACACGTTGGTTCCCCAACTTAATGACGGTATAGACAATGTTAAGAAATATGCGATTATGGCAAGACGATCTAAGGCTTTGCTACACCTTGAATTCGACTGTATCTCCCCTCAAACATTAACCAGAAGGGAGGCAGATTTTAAGTATAATTAGTGTTAATAATTAGACGATATTAGAGTACCACCTTGTTTTTTAGAATTTTAAGCTTTCATCGTTCTAGACTTGTAAGTAGTAAGTAGTGATATGATTTTAGCTGGGTATATCCTATTTATTCTCTAATTCATTAGTTATCTTACTTAATTATTTAGACATGACCCCACAAGCGAAGTGTTGCTTTAAATACTTATCGTGTATAAATAAAGATTGATTGATTGATTGCTCTTTATTGTTAAATTTCAATAATATGAGCATGCGTGCAGGACCAGCTGAAAAGTCCAACAAGTGTGACTTCTAGCAGGCACATCAGAGTGATCGTGTGCTAGGTAACCAAGCTTATTTTCAATGCACCGATCAGGTACAAAATATAAAAATCCCGTGTCAAACATAATAATTGGACACAGTATTTGAAAGGAAAACTCGTTTTTGCAATTTGTGCTAAAAACTTACACTTTTAACACCGAAAACTAAAAAGAAAAACCTTGACTTTGATTCATCTGTGCTTGTTTTCAATGACTTCTCTGAAATTTTCAAGGACCCAAGTCTGAATTCAAGGGTTTTTAAATCCTTGAAAACAAAAAGTTAAATTCAAGGACTTTCAATGAGTGCAGGAACCCTGCTCTGTGTTTCAAACATTTATTTTAAGGAATGTCCTGTATGTCTACTCTGTTGCATATGCACATATCAGCTGTGAAAAAACGTGATGCTGTTCTGTCTGGCATGGTAGCTTGTGCAAAGGTGTTTAGGATAAAACCACTGTCACCCATGAATTTCCTTGACATTGACCAGTCGAGATTAAGAAAAGTAGAACATGGTGGTATATCAAAATGTATTTACATGACAATACCTGTACTATCTTGATTCCGTACAGAACCATTCAGCCTGCTTCTTGAGCAATTGCTGCTATTTAGTTCCTCCCTCCTACGATTCTGCAATTCTCGAATTCCACTTTGCCACAGATCAACTCCCTCACTAATGCTGACATGGAGAGGAGAATGACGAATGCGTTCAATTCGTCCAACTAGGGCTTCAATCTACATAGTAATTAAATGAGAATTCACAGGTCACACTCCCTTTCATGAAAAATATTAAAAGGCATCAGACAATTTTTCACTAACAGCCACCAATCATGCTAAATACCCCAAATAGATATACATGAGTACAAAAGGATGTATGGAAAAAAGATGGATTTGCTCAGAGAACAACTAAAGAGGAGATCAGTCAATTAATTTGTATGATGATGTAGATGGTCTCCTTACGCATGGTAGCCACAGTTAATATGATCATACTTTTGGGCGCTGTATTGTGCAATAGACCTTTCTAGCTAATGCAGCCACATGGTTTGAAATGGGTCAACAACCATTCAAAATGGATGCTTAGGTGTGTGTTGCAGACATCCTATAGACAAAATACTTTCTTCTCTCACTAAAATGTTCACATTTGTAGATAAATCAGCACTTAAAAGACTGCTGTTAGAAGGAAATTAGCAACAAAATGAGGCAAAGTGGCCATTGGAAATGAAGCTTTTAATTGAGAATGTACACAACCTCCAACTGGAAAAGTAAACTTGTGAACAGATGAGGCAAGTTTTCTTTTTTTGCCTTAATTGGTACCGTAAATATCTTTGCAAAATTCTGTAGGTCATTACAAAATATGGTCCTGAAACCCAATAGCACATTGTCAAGGTAAACATGTTCTCAACAGGAGTAACAGTAAGCTTGTCACATGTTAAAGGAGATTCACAGAAAGAAACAGAGCAGGAAAAGGTTGATGCCAAAATGCCCTGACAATTATCATGCCAGAAACGACACACTAAACACTCACTGGAATGCCATCAATAGTGGTTTCTCGTGATCTTACTGTTCTCAAAAATGTGCAAATCGTTGGTCTCATCAGGCTAGCATGCAATATTGGTAATTATGACTGCATTACCATCATAAAAGGGTTGAACATTGATGGAGCAAAACTGTTTTCAGTTGATAAATGCCATGGCACTGTACTTGTTTGGACATACAATCCTAACATGGTTGCAACAGATGCCCCCAATCACACCTGGAAACTAAGTAACATCACGAGACCTTTGTTTGGCGCTACTTAATTCATCCTTTTCTTCTAAAAAATGGCCTTGACATCCTGTGAATGATGTTACATGTAGAATACACGGGCATGAAAAATAAATTGTGAATAACTCGCTTGAAAGACCCAGTCATATAAAATTTCAGAGCAATTAAGGATTGCTGCATGGCTGTCAGTGCCAAGTGGAAGACCTCTCCTTGCCTTATACTTGAGATTGTGCTCTAAAGTTTTAATGAGGTCTGCAACTGAGTCCTTTCTGAAGTGAAAGTGAATTACAAAATCTTCTACATTACTTTAAAGGGTTAATTCTATCTTTAAGTGGCTGAATTTTTCAAGATTACAGATGACGTCTATTAGTGCGCTGCCTTAACAGTCTGTAACACAATAAATTATACATTTTAAAGTGAATGGCAATGAAAGTGCTCCATAAACAGCATCTAAACCTACCGCAGAGCATCCTCATCCTTATGGATGATGAGTGTTTCCACAGTTTAAATGGAGACTTACACAACTCTGTTTAAATTTCACCTGAATAACTGGTCATATTTCTTTTTGAATTAGCTTCCTGTTGGTACCATAATTTCCGGCCGTTTACCCGCAGGTAATCTGTTGATTTTGCCCTTAACACGCACCACTGGGGGTAACAGGGAGGTGCAGGTTATGTAACAATTTTGAAATATACTAGCCGAATATACTAGCCGTTGAATTGAAAAAAGTTTTCACCTCCCTGCATTTCCACTTCTCAAATGAATTTTATTGTATTAACACTGCCACAAAGTGACACGAAAACATGCCGACTCGAGTTTATTTCACGCATAATTAGTTGCGCGACGAACAAATTCTTATCGGCACGTGTGTAAACAAAACCTTGATTGTGACAAAAATAATCCAAGGATATCCGGCGCATCAGTACCAAATTTCCAGTTAACACGAGCTTGAGCTGAAGAGAATTTTCCCGTTTTAAGGGACTTGTTAGGCCCAGGAGAACCGGAGATACCGATTTTTTTTTGGAGAAATCAACAAATTAACATGGCGCTGATCGAACGATTGCTCGAACAAAATGTGGCCATGAATTCGCATTCTGTCAAGTTTGAAACATTGTGAAGTCTAGAGCCTTTGTGTACAAATTTTCTTTGCTTTTAAGGTGGCTCGTACCAGTGTCCT